AAGAATGGTCAAAAACCGTGTCATTTCTCACAGGCAATGGGCTAAGAGACTAATACGACCACTTGGGTATGGAAGCCACATGCCGAGGCTCATGACTTCACTAAGAACTCAAAGATTTTTTTTAGAAGTATTTAGCACTCATTTCAGGACTCTCTCCATCATTCTTTGGCTGACTGGTGTATATCTCTAAGGCATTCATTTTACCAATTATGAAAACAATGGCTAAGAGACTCGATTCAAATTGGATCTAGTCCACACGGTTAACCAGTAGCGGGCCAAGAAATCTTGAATGAAAGAATCTGGGTGAGGGTTTCTGAGAAATACATAATAACCTCTTATTCTTTTTTCAAATTTGGCAATCGTCCGGAGCAACAAGCGAATTTCAACTTTATTGCACCTCAACTGGTGCACTGATCTTTGTGGCCTTATGGTACTGTTATCACAAAGTAGTTCTAAACTTTGTTTAATTGTAAGGTGTAGAATCCATCTTGAATCACCATTTAGTAAGGCTAGGAGCTGGGTCCCTTTCTCGGACACTATATCGAGTACATGTATCTTCACTAATTAACCAATCTCTAAATGCTAGAGTATATCTTAAAGAAATCCCACTTTTTCATGAATTTATCTTGAACCATAATGTGTAGGCTCAACTTTATCCAAGGTTTCCTATGGAAGCAACCCCATTTTTTACCTTGAAATTGCAATAGCATACACCACAACGAAATTTTACTTTCTAAATTCATAAATAATGCCATATATTACAGACTTACCTTTTCAATACATAGAATTTTAGGTGAACAAAATGGCACTAACCTATTTAACCACTTATTATCAATAAACTAATAAACGGAATCCTCTAACATCACCTAGTAAAAATAATCTTCTATAACCTAGTAAACACCATTTATAGGTTAATAAACCAAACCCCTATAATTTTAGTAAACTAATAATGACATTAAATAGTCAGTCGCATTGATGCCATTCGTATAAATATCAGGCACACGAATTTGGATATAAACTATAGATAGATGATGCAGAAATCGTGCATATATATGTATATCTATACATGAATACGTCTACACACACATATATATATCTATTTGGCTACTCCGCCAAGAGATTGGTTGCTTTCTTTATTGATTATTGTTTGTCTTTTGCTTCATTTTAGGAGGTTCTCTCATCCTTCATTGATAAACTTTCTCTTTTTCTTATCCTAATAATGTCAATTTCATTCCCAAAAAACCTATATAGACAATGATATGTATCATAACTAACCTGCACATACAAAACAATTTAGGGCAAGTCTAAAGATCTATTACAACAAGATTGTAAATCCGGACAGAAGCTACAACACAACGGTTTTAGTACAAAACCACTCAGAACGAAACACAGCCAACATCTGACTTCAAGATGTAAATATCCAAAATCTGTAGGACCAAAGAAAAGCCCTCTTCCTAATTCGAATCAATGTAGTCTGCCTAAAGTCATCATATGAACTACAAAAATAAACCAAGCCTAAAAAAAATCATAGGAACTTCGAAAATATAAGTTAAAAGAGAAATACATGCATTTCCTACACGAGTTCTACACAAACAGGAAATCGTAGAGAACGGACCTTAGGCGGGAGTAAGACGTCGAGGTCGGCATCGGAAGCTCGAGGGAACTTGTCGCGGAGGTTGCGCTTGAGCTTCTTCCTGTCTGCGCCTGAGAGCCTTTGATGAGACTTGGCCTCGACTGCCTTCTTGAACATTTTTTAGTTATTATAATAGAGAAATCACAGTTAAGATTGTCTTTGATTATATATGTATGTATATATAATCGGCTTATGAATCAAACACAACACGTCCTCTGCTCGCAGTCGATTGAACGAGAGTGAGGCTTCAGGGAGGAGTTCAGTTGTGCGCGTTTTAGGGGTCGCGAAGCTTCTGGAGAGATGTGTCTTTCCCGTACCTTTGTGCCGTGTCTCACCGCCATATGTTAACCACGAGGTACTTACATGTATATATATACTCTCCTGGCCTCGCCTGATTTTCGTTTCGGGTTCTGGTTCTTTAATAATAATAATCGGATTTTTTTACAATTTATGAAATCTTGAATCTACAAAAACGTCAAAATTTCTCGATTTAAAAAAAAAAAAAAAATCGACTTATTTATGCCCTCCTGATAAATAATAATAATAATAATAAATTCCAAATATACTCTTATAATTTAGTATTATTCCAATCTAAATTCTGTAATTTTTATACTATATATATAATTCAGTTTTCATTATTTTAAATAAAAATATTAATTTTATGTATGATATTTTACATTTTTTTATTTCTTCTTAATTTTAAATTTAAACGTTCATGTTTAAACATACATTTACTAGAAATTAACAGTTTTATATAAAATAATTAAAAATCAAAGTATTGGGTTGTTACAAAAATTATATATTTTAAATTATAATGGAACCAAAATTTAAGAGACAATTACGTACTTTGACTCTGATATAATAAATAATAATAAGAATAAAAATAAATTACAAGTATACTCTTATAATTTGGTATTATTCCAATCTAGATTCTGTACTGTTTATATTATATATAATTATTTGAAATAAAAATTAACAGTTTTGTATAAAATAATTAAAAAAGCAAAGTATTGGCCCGTTAAAAGAACTAATATTTTAAGTTATAATACAACCATAATTTAAGAGACAATTATGTACTTTGCCCTAATAGTAATAATAATTCTCTACAGAACCTATTATCTATTCAAATTCAATTTTCTGCAACTTTAACCATAAATAAAAAACTTTAAACGTATTTTTATTGAGTATTTCACATCGCACTTTATCATTTCGATTAAATTGAAATACATTATAACTTAAAATATCATTCAGCTTGAGACTCTTTCTACATAATAATCCATCAAAGTTTTTAAATTTCAACTGTATTGCAAACTTAACTTTCAGAAAATTTTAAATCTAGTAATTAAAAATTCTTAAACTTCATGCCACTGTTTAACTTCACAAAGTTACTAATAGCATGAACTTACTTTAGCCGAACAAACACTAGCCGTTTTGAGATAAGAGACCGGTTCACTAAAAATATATAGTCAAAATAATATAAAGCTATTTCAGAACTGGTCGATAAATGAAATCTGAGCCTTATTCCGAGCATCTCAATAAAGAATAAAAGACCATTCATTTTTTGAGTTGGAATTCATGTCCTATGCAGGCAATAACCAGACAACAGGCAATATAAATAAATAAATGGACAATGAAAAACATTACTACACCCTGCAATGACAATACTTCAGGAGAAAACTGTGTGTGTGCGTATATATATAGCTGTAGAACATATAATAGAACAAATGTTAAGAGAGGCAACAAACCGAAATTGAAGATTATAAGCAAAAAAAATATCAGGCGGAAGAAAATTAATGGAGTTCAAGTTTAGCCTGAAATCGTTGTTCTGACATCAGGGCAACGCCCCAGAAACCTGATATTTGAGAACAGCTATATCCTACGTATACACACTCCCACTTCTCACTAATTTTCAGATGAATTAAGATGTGAATGAAATGTCTGAATATCAACAGGCTCATCAATTCACCCACCAAATCTACAATATGGAATTACCTTTCAAAAATTAAAAGGAAGACAAGTTTAATTTAATCACGTTCTACCAGCTTGGTAGAGTACTCAAGATATTTCCACACATTTCTATAAACTGCCATCCATGGAGGGGTAAGAACTCTATACTGATAGTAAGAAAATGGTAACGGTACAGCTCAATAGTAAGAAAATCCAGGAAGAGCTTATACAACAAAATTTCCTGGTTTTCTCCGTTCTTTGAACACAAAATGTTATATAGATACACCGCAAAATATCTACGAAAAGCCTCGTGAGAGCCAAGATTCCAAAACTTAAGCTTACAAGAAACACTGCGATACCTTTGTTCTCCATCGATGAATGACTCTCCTCCATCTTTTCAACCTTAAACCTGTAAAAATTTTAGCACAATAATTAACACCTTCGCATAGATAAGGAACAAGAAATTTCAAAGGTGCAGAAAAAAGAATCCTAGGTCTACACCAAACCCCTTTGTTTCAGGAGAGGAGTGTTTTTTAGGGATAGATATTCCAATTTCCCAGCAATTAATCAATATTTTTTCATATTCCACTCTTCTTTTCATATCGTCCCTGCCAATCGTTTCCCAATGTTCCTTGCAAATTTTAACAAAGAAGCCAATCAACTTAAAACAATCTAATTATGAATGTTTCATACTTGGTAGATAAGAATAATTAGGCTATTTTCATATATGCCATTACCTATTCAAAAATTACTGTAGGTGGACGAAATCATAAGATTTCATAGACGAAGTACTCTACAAACAGAAAAACCTATTATTCTTGCAGCTTTGACCTTCAATCTTCATAGTTGCCCTTTTTTTTGGAATGGTATCCTGTTATACCCTTTCAATTTTTTTTTAATAAGCTACCATTGGCAATGAATATGTTTTAAACAAATAGATCTTGAAGTCCCCCGGACAATTATTTCATTTCCTTTAATTATTAAAAGAGATTTCGTAAAGAAATTTCAAAAAGAGCAATAAATGGTATAGAACAAACTCAAATAAACATGTATGCTGTGATAATTAGATTGCTTCACCAAAATACTTCCATCATATAAGAAAATTTGCCATTAGTAGATAAGGAGATCGAGAAACCTGAGAAGAGCAATGTCCCCGCGCAGAGTAAGTAACTCAGAAGAATCACGCGATTTCTGGGCAATAAGTTCACCAACATCTTTAGCCTGAAAAGAGGATAACATAAGGAATTGAAAGGGAAAACAGGAAAGAAACCAAACACCCAAAACCAAATTAAATCATAAAGTCACATACCATGTTTGCCTGAGTATCAAAAGTATTCTTTACATCTGATCTTATCCTTTCTAACAGTACAACTTTTTCTTCAATATCTTTAGCAAATTCTGTTACTATATTCCCATATCTGGAATTCAACTCTTCTATGTATCTCTCCAGCACAGACAAATTTATGTCCAGGGACCGGACTTTCTGCATTAGTATTTTAAGAACAGCATCCCCATGCATCCTACTGGCCTGTTGATGATGAATTTCCTCAACAGGATCAAGAACATTATTCGTCTTCCCAACATCATGTTTAGTAATTGAACTTTCCACCGAGTAAACAGACTCCACTTCTTCATACAATCCTTGAGAATGTACATCACTTTTGGTGGACTCTGATGGGAAAGATACCTGCTTATTGTCACCAGTTCCTTCTTGAGGTCCAAATAAATTGTTTTGAGCAGATATCAAATCCTCCAGCATGCGCTCAACAGCATCCACCCCATAGACTTCAACAACACTTAGTGTACAATAAAATTCTGACCCATAATGACTCAATAGGTTTAACTTTAAGTATCTCACCCATTTTGGCTCTTGGAGAACAAACTTCTGAATATGCTTCACATTTGCAGCAGTAAAATTCCCAAGACTAACCCACGTCTCTGTTGGATAAACCAGACTGCCAAGCAACTCAAAATCTTTTAAATTAGAAGAATAATGTTCGAAATTTGCTATCCCGATTGTGTCTACTAAAGTTTCCTCCGAAAGTTCCATAACAACATATTTTTCTTCTGCAGAGCATGGATTTCGAAGGTACTTGTCTTTGTCTCTGCATAGGATATTAGAAGCACCCTTGGCTTCCTTGTTAAATGACAAGACCTTCGCTCCCTTTGAAGAAGAAGCATAATTATACTCCTTCCCACCAGGCTCCACTCTGTGTATTACACTCCCAGCCTGTCCGGTTCCAGATTTACTTTTGGAACTGAATGTTTTGGTCCTGAATTCATCAAGTCCAGGTGGCACAGCACGAGACAGCCTATCAGACTTCAGAGCAGTCCCCTCCGAGTTAGTGCCTGACATGGCATGGTCAACCATATGATTTGTGTTTCCTTCATGGGCAACTGGTTCACCACTTCTGGAACCTTTATTTTCATCGACTTTTGCACAAGAATCCTCATTGTACTTAGGACATTCAGTTTCTTTTGATGGATTTCTATCAGCAGGACCAGCATATTTTTGTGCCAGCTGAGATCCATGCCAAGTTGACGAACCAACTGGAGGCACTGCAGACGCATCTATATTTAAACAAAGCGATTAGTGTCTGACGAAAACTAAGCAGGCAGTGAGGAAGAATAACCAGAAAATGAATCACACGAGTTCATTAGATTTCCTGGGCAAGGAAAATGGACAAAGGACAATATGGACATGACAAAATCAACAAGGAAGAGCAATCTTTAAACAAAGTTTCTCTTAAAAGGGGCGGCGGAAGAAGAGAGGTTGGTCTCTTATTTACGAAACTGAAATGCATGCTTAGAGTATTTTATTGCAATCTTACCTCTGTAACTGTCGCCATAACTGATCCATAAGCTCAAAAGGAAAACAAGACCCCATAAAACAAAAACCAAGGACAGAGAAACTTTGTACAAGTGATTTCTTCCAGTATTAGCCTTCTCCAAAGCTCTTCGTTGCAGAAGAGCTCTACGTGATCTTTGCATCGCACATCAATCCAGTACAGCGCAGACTATGGAATTCTGAAAGAAAAGGTTTCTCTCCACGTCACCTGTAGATGAAGCCCCTGGTATTGGATCAGATACTCTTCAATATGAAGCGGAAAGAGAAATGTTTTGCTTGTACATTCAGCTAACTAGTTGTAACGTTGAAAGGTAATGAAACTGACTGAAAAAGTATTTCTTCAGCCACAAATAGCGGTAAATGAAGAAGGAAAAACGCAATAGAGAACCCTAATATTAATTAACTTGCAAGATACGAGCCCATATTTAACCATGTTCCACAACAAAATGGCATTATGGATTAAGAAATTGGTAAAGAAAATCGAAAAGGTAACATGAAAGACATTATCTCTAATTAAGTTAAAATTAGATTGTAATGAATCAGACATCCATAACCAACTATAATATGGACTAGTCAATACGGTGAAATCATCCTTCGGAGCGAAGGAAAATGACACTGACCTGCAAGAATAATGTTCCAACAAACTGATAGTGAAATACATCAAACAACAGCAAAATCCGAACTTAATCTTAATAATGCCGAGAAAATTCAAAGACAAACACTGAAGTTCTAAATTAAGAAGTTTCCATATAACATTTCCACGAAGAGTAAAAGAAAAACCCAAAATGAACATATAGAATAAAACCTCGTCGAACCCAATTCAAGAATCACCTAGGGTAACTTTTTTCGTTGTCTTCTAGTAACACATAAAATTAACAGATATTGATTGATCGATAGATAAAAGAGCGACAAAGAAAGAGATACGAAAGTTGGTCAACTTCGAAACACAATCGGGTTTAGGATTGACTCAAAGCCCTGAACTGTAACCTACATGAATAATTCAACAAATTTAAGGTGACTGAACAGAATTCAAAAGCCAAACATTAGATCCAATTCCAAGACGATTCACATAAGAAGAAAAAACTGAAAGAGAAAACACATCCAAACAACGCAGATCAAAATTAGGCTGAATCCAAACAGATAAAACAAACAGGCAATAATTTCTCAACCACAGATAGTAGAAGGCAAGAAGAACTTCTCAAACCACCTGAAAATCTGGAAAATGAGTAAGTCAAATTCTCTTCAACTGTTTTCAGAGTGAAAAAAACGGAGATCAGCGAACAAATCCAGAGAGAAAAAGAAGCGCGATCGATCGAAACAACCGATGTCAATCCCAGACCGAAACGGCGTCGGTCGGTCAGTCGATTCTCTTCTCCGTCCCGGGTGTCTTCAGGACCCCTCTGATGGGGTTTCTGTCCTTTTAAGTAACGGCATTCTTCTGTCTCTCTCTCGTATTTGAAAAACACTTCCGGCTTCCGGATTCTTTGTTTTAGCTTTTTAACTCGAATTTCACTGTTTACCGCTCTGTTATTGGATCTGGTGAGCTGAAAGAGCAGTAAATTTGGGAGTGTTTTTTACTAGTCGTCTCCCTTTTGCATTTTCAAAAACAAGATAAATCCCCCTGGCATGTGTACCGGGGACTGGTAAAAAAAGAAACGCACGGGTAAAGATACTTCCTAGATGAGAAAGAAAAGAATATTCAGTAATTTTTTGAGTCGAAATCCCAACTTACGAGCGTATAAAAAATTTAAAAGTTATATCTTTATAGCTATTATTAACAATATTAATATTAAAAAATATTGTGTTAAATATTTAAATTTTATCATTACAAGATAAATAAAAATAAAAATTTACACTCTACTAGAACAATAAAAATAAATTTGATTAGATTTTACTATTTGAATCAGTTTTTTAATTGAACACACTAACGTTTATTTATTTTAGTAATTTTAACTAATTTTATTAATTTCATAATTATTTAACAAATTTATTGAATAAAAGGGGTAAAGGGAGCAAAATGGTGTCGGTTATGAACAAAATTTATTAGTCATGAACAAAATAAAGTCGCTTAATAAACAAATATTTAATAATTATTATATATTATGAGTATATATTAGTTTGATTAATATTATCAAAATTTAAAAAAAAAAGAAAAAAAAAACCTTTTTGAGAAAAACTTACAAAAAACATTTGAAATTAAGCAATTAATTTATTTATTTAAAACATGGAAATTAATATTTGTAAACCATGAAAACGGAAAAAAACGCGTAAATTGAAAGAGTATGGTAATAAGACAAGGACATTGCTTTAATCATTTAGATTTTGCAATCCCTTCGTATAAGGCAAGGTATTTAATAGTGTGTGTTTATATATATATATATATTAAATTTTTTATAAGTTGTAATTATTTTAATTAAAAAATTCTAATAAATGTGCTTAAATTTAATCATTTAGTCATCATAACTTATATAATATCCGGATCCGGAATTTGGACAGTTATTAATTTAAAATTTTAAAAAATATATAAAAATTTTAATTTTAAAAATTAATAAATTTTTATTTAATATAAAATTAAGAAAAAAAAAAGTTATGGATGAAATTAAAAATAATTTTTTAAAAAAATAGTGAAAATTAATGTTCGGATGATATTTTTGAAAGAAAAATCAGAACTATGAGTTAAAACGCAATTAAGAAAAATTACGTCACATAGGACCGCCTAATCAACAGTCCCGACAAACCAGAGCGCGCCGTGTGGCAAGGTACGCTGACTCGGTGTCACGCGGGAGGCCACACTAGCGATCCGCGTGCTCTGCGATCGGACGGTCCGGAAGCGTTCCCGCGCGCATGGATGGTCCGAATTTGTTCCCTCCTCATGCGCGATCAGATAATCGCGATTAAACACGATGAACGGTTCATATTTATTTTTTTTAAACGCGATCGTACGGTCGAGATCAAATCGCGATGAACGAGCTAAATTCATTTCTTCTTTAAACGCGATCAAACGGTCGAGATCAAACGCGATAAATGGTTCAGATTAACACGAGACGAGTATAAATATCTCGCATTACATCGAACCCAAACCCTAACCGTCAGTCTCTCGTCGGAGAAGAAGGACTAGTCGCCGGATGCGGGAGCCGACCGTCGCCCCCCACCGCGCTGGAGCCACATTCGACTACCAAAAAAAGTAAAAATTTTCATATCCACTCAGAATTTAATTCCGAGCACCCTCATGGCCAAATCAGTACAAAAGGAATGGTGAGTGAGCCGAAAATCATTGCCAAAGCCCAACGGTGTTGCCATAGACAAAACCCAAAATCGCCTCCGATGAGCCCCTTCTCGTTTTCCGTTTTGTGTGATTTTTTATACCATTATGTTCACTGTTTTATTTTCTAGAGGTTGACCAAAAAAAAACGTCCAACCGCGGAGGTGAGCCGACGGAGCTGCCGCACCAGAAAATTCTACTGTCAGTAGGTTTTCGTTTTTTGATTTTTTTTTCGGCCAACTGAGGCCCCCAAACGTGTTTTCTCGTAGGGATGGATATAAAATCAGTCGAAATCAGCCAAAATTGACTGAAAATAGCAAGGCTGAGGCAAACTGCCGTCGTTCACGGCGGTACCACCGTGCCGGAATTTAAAAATTGGCCGTAAAAGGTTTTTAACACCGATTTTAGATTTTTTTATGGTATTTTTTGGTACGTGAAACGTGTTTTAATCTTCGCAGAAAAATTTAAGAAATACGAGGACCGCCAGTAGTACAATAGAAAGTTCGATGTTTCGGATACCGATTCGGGTAAGAATCTCTCATATTATTTATCTCTATATGGAATGAGCTATATCGATATATGATATCTGTGTATTTAAA